AGATAGCTGGATGAGAAGGTGAATCAGCCAGAAGGGACAGTGATGGCCAACTCTTCAGCATGGGGCAGGCACATTGCTGTAGAGTTCCCTGGAAGAGGTTCTCAGATCCAAAGCAACTCCAAGTTAGAGAGAACCCGAGTTCATGACCTGCTCTTTGCTTGAGGAGTAGATGTTCAGGAAGTAGGGAGTGCCAAATATGCAAGTCAAATTATTTAAGGTGCGATTCAACTTGGTTTAATAATTTAAAAAATACTTTTAGAATTTTCCCTGCCAGAGATCAGGCTATTAATTAGCATGTCATGGGAACCCAGCATTTATTATTCTCTCAAAAACCCATTTGTAATGGAAAATGTGCTGAGTCTCATTTGTGAAAGATAATTATAGTTTACATCTTTCAGATACCTGCCAAGTTCCCAGTGATTTCCCTCTTCTCAGGGAGCTGCCTTCAGAATCTACATTTCCACTGCCTGGCACACCCCCTGGTCATAGCTCTTTGGACCAAACCTGGAATCATGAGCAGAGCTGAGCCAATAAGAATTTTTTCTCTCTCAGGAATTTGAGATTGGAGCCAAGAGGGCCAGGCCACACTGTTTGACTGGAACTGTAAGATGCAAATTAATGGTCACATATCACCGATGGTCTTGAGGAGCTGAGAAAGTTGATTTGCAGGGAGGGAATAAAGCAAATGCAGAGAGAATAGCACAGGGGAGACACATAGGAAGTTCTGCCTTTCAGGTTCCAAGGCACAGTTCTTCCCTGAAGTGCAGGTGCCTCCCAACTCTGGGGTTCAATAAAACACTCCTCTATCCTTACTATTCATCACATTTGTTATGTTGGTTAGACAACTGGACTTCTAATCTAGTGATGCTACAGGTCTCCAGTAGGGAGTGCACTTTGATTTTTTTTCCCCATGAGGGACAATGGGTCTCTTTCTTATTCATTGATCTGTTCATTCATTCACAAAATATTGTGGGGTATGTATTAAGTGTTAGTGACTCAAGATATAAGACTGAATAACACATGGTCTTTGCGCTCAAATAATTCATTTGTCTTGATTTTTCTTTTAAAGGTGGTTTGGTTAGGATGTGGGGATGCAGTCTTTGAAATACCAGAGTTCTCTTTTTGAGCTTGATGGATTAATGTACTCTTTTAGCGTATTCAGGATTGCTAGGTATGAAAAGTACTTTGTGAACTACAGACTGCTACACACTTACTTTTCACACTTACTTTTCACTAAACAATATTTTAAGGCTTTTAATCGTTTGGGAAAAGATGCTTTTTTGTGTGACCAAAAGATATAATCACATCAAATAATGATTGTGAGCTTTTGGAGAAAACAGGTAAATAAAAACCAACTGAAACAGAAATAATGCCTAACAAATGAGCTCAAATACACCTGGGATTGGTCTAGTCATCTGGGTGAATTGTGTAGCAGTTGGGATTTGGCTTTGATTCTTTTCAAATGTCAGGGATAGATCCTGCTCCCTGAGACAACCCCCCTTCCCCCCTCACCCCCACCCCAGCCCTGCTTTCAGCTGGTGCTTATTTTCAAAGACCCACTCATATCTCTTTTCCCTTCTACAATGAGAGTTCTGAGACTTTACAGTTCTCTAGAGAAAATTCATTAAATATTTATTAAGGTGAGTGCATTTAAAATTTGCTTTGCTGCCTTGAAATCCAATGTTCTCAATTTCAACAACCAGTTGACACTTAAAACAATAGAAGGGTAGGGACAGAAGGGCTGCAGAGATCATCTCTGCCCAGTTAAGAAAAAGGGCTTTGGAGACCTGATTGATATGTGGTCTCTGTTGTCCTTGTTAACTCTCTGAACTACATGTATATAGCAAAGATAATACTTCCTTTCTCATAGAGGTGTATGAGGATTAAATGGATGACAGAGACCAAGTTGTCTGGGGTGTCTCTGACTTGTAGTAGGTGAAAATTAAATAGTACTAGCTATTGTTATTGTTATCATTGTCTATTACAAGTGATTTCCCCATAGTCACTCAACTAATCAATGCAGGTTTCAGGTCCTTTGAGCCTCATCATGGCTATGTCTTTGGTACTATACTTTCTCCTTTTGGTAGTGGCTTTAAAAAGTGAAATCATTACAAAAGGAAACCGAAAGAAAGATGGTCTTTGCATTGATAACATTCTCTTTAACATTACTGTCATTCTCGTTTGCTTGGTCCTTTTTAATATCCCTCTTTTATGATTATAGTTAAAAAGGGATGTGACCATTAAATTCCTATGAAGCTTTTTAAATTTATCTTACTTGAAGTCTTCGGGGTGGATGCCTTTTAATAATACTTGTTTCTCCCTGTTCCAGTGGGATGTCAAAATACATGGCCCTGGGCACTTGAAGGATTGGAGGAGAAGCAAGAAAAAACACATTAGAAACAATTTACTATTAAATAAGTTTAACAATTAGTTTTTAGACTTTGTTAACCAATTTTGTACCTTCTTTTTTTTAAATATATGTCTAACCTATGGGTTGAATGTGGAGATGAAACATATAAAGCAGGAACCCTACATGAGAGCAAATGCAAAATATTAGCTTAGACGCAGAATTTAATTTCTGTTTTTCTCATTTCCCCCTCAAACGTATTGATGACAACCCAGCCAGTATGGCTCAGCAGTTGAGTGGCCACCCAGGAACCAAGAGGTTGACAGTTCAATTCTGGATCAGAACACATGCTCGAGGTTGCAGGCTCAATCCCCAGTGGGAGGGGGGGGGAGGGCACGCAGGAGGCAGTCTATTGATATTTCTCTCTCATCAATGTTTCTTACTCTCTATCCCTCTCCCTTTGTCTCTCTCTAAAAAATCAATAAAAACATATTTTTAAAGAAATGTATTGATGACAAATGTTATTCAAACACAGGATTTGGCATGAAAAATAGAAATGTATGGATTTATTTTAATTTTATTAAATCACCCCCAAATAATATAGGAAATCAGGATAAAATATAGCTTTAAGAAATAAAAATAAATTCTCTTTTTAGATGAACTAGATAGATAGATAGATAGATAGATAGATAGATAGATAGATATTAGGTAGAGAGGTAATAAAGAAATGGAGCAAATGCCCTAACCGATTTGGCTCAGTGGATAGAGCGTCGGCTGCGGACTGAAAGGTCCCAGGTTCGATTCTGGTCAAGGGCATGTACCTTGGTTGCGGGTA